GTGCTTGATTGCCAGCTGGGGCTAAACCACAACATGGGTGTTTTTGTGTCCTTGTGGGCATCATGTCCCAGCACTCAGACTGCGACTGTGCTTTTGCATTTTCCCTGGTGCTGGCTGCTCTGCTGAAATGCAGTGATGTGATCTCCAGCCAGGTCCTAGCATGGCTCCAAGAGCCCCAGATTTTTAAGAAAAGCATTGAAACTTATGTTCTTAAAAAAAAAGGGAGTAAATAGGGATTAAAAAAAAAAAATCTTTGAAACTGCTCCAAAAATTGAATTACAAAATGATTTCTTTCCAGTGTTTGTCACCTGCTCTGACCATCAATAGAAAACAAATCGATTTACAGAGGCTGTGAGCTTTATATCTTTGGCTTTAACAACTTAATTAGTGAGCTATGCTAAAGGACTAAACACAGGAACGAATGCATGAAAAGGAAGGAATGGAGGATGTACTGGCAAAGCCTTCACTGGATCTCTTGTGCGCTGCCTTCTGACACTAATCAGTGTTAATCACATCTGAGCACCAGCCATGAAGTAATACACTACACTGTAAAATGACATATATGGCATATTTACATGTATTCATATATATGTATTTACACATACACGCATGTTTATATGTGATTTACTGTGGGCCTTGAAGAATATACTAATAGGTATTTTAATCCTGCGAGTCATAAATGCGAATGTTTTCCTTGTCAGGACAGCAGCTGCCTAGCATAAATGTATGTAGTGTAAGGAAAAGCCTTCATTAAAACAGTTCACAGTTTACAGCCTATGGTGACTTGCTTTAGCTTTTTGGCTAATCACCACAGATATATCTAGGATGTTGACTGATTTGTCTTGTTTCTTCTGCTTTCTTAACTTCCTTAACTATGTAAATTAGACACACATGGCCCATTCTTGCAGCCTGGATTTGGGTCAGTACAGATTATAGTGTAATCTCTTTCTCTGATGCCATCTGAAATGACAAAACAAAGAAAAAAAAAATGCCCATTTCAGGATCTGATTGCTTCTATGATTTTATATTTATGTTGCTAGACTTGACACAGGGGTACAGATTCAAGCAAAGTTTCAGGGGTTATGAAGTAGAATTTTTGCTTAGAAAATGCAAGAGGCAGTTGCTAAGCACATCGTGTCATGTTGCCTTGGTCAATTGGGTTCTGTAATGATATTTTAAAGCAACAAAGCAAAATTCTACTGGAAGCAGCACCATAAGGTACTCCCCTCACAAGCTAATTAAAATAACTCCTGTGGGTAAATGAAGAAATATTTTTTCAGTTATGAGCACTCGCTCTGTAAGTATTTAATTTAAATGAAATACAATAGTGCATACTGAATAGATTGGACCATACATCTGCATATTAATGAAGCTGCTAAATTTCTAGCAATCACTTCTAGATGCAGGCTATCGCCTCAAACTAGTTTATATGATGAGGGTTGGGGGAGTTAAGAGCAGGACAATTTCACAGAAAAAAAGCAAATGCAATTCCTAAATTATATAATTTGCAGACAGACTGCAGAAGTACTGAATTATTGTAATGTAACAAAAGTATAACATACTTCTTCATGTTGCTTATTACTTCTTTACTATCACTTCCTTCCATTTTAATAACCCAATTCAGTGAGAAAAAGTTGCCTCACTGAAAAGGGAATGTAGTAAGTTTGGGGTTTTTTGAGTTTTGTTTGTTTTGTTTTGGTTTGGTTTGGTTTTTTTAGGTGCACTGCAAGGCACATACATTAGGGTACAATCTTCCAGTGGTGTTTCAGTGTGGAGAGATCAGTTGTGAGCATAGAATGGTTTGCAGCAACAATGACACTGCAGGAAAAAAATGACTCGGGGAGTCACAGTTCCCTCCATGCTTTCTCCTTTGCTCTGGGAGATGACAAAGAGGTAATAAGCATCCTGTTTCCAGGGGCCACTTACTGCCTTCTGCAAAGAAAAACCTCCTAAATTAGTATGTATCCTAGTAATTTAATGTGGTAGTGAGACTAGCCATGCCAGAAGGCACTGTTCAAGAAACTAGGGTTGCAATACAAATCATTCATCCTGGGGTAAATCATATAGAGGGAAAGAAAAGAATTCAGATGGCATGGGGATCAGTTGGATCAAAGTCTCCTCCTTCAATAAAAGGCCTACAAGACATGAAAAATGGCTAGAGTTAGGATTGTAGAAAAAGGAAGAAGTAAGGAAATCATGACACTAAGCTTCATGTTCCTGTGAATTAGTAGCTGGGTATGAGTATGTAGAACTTCTTAATAAATAGGGAAAAATCTCTTTAAAATTCACCTTTTTTTCATTTGGCAGGTTTCAAAAGTTATTTTCCACTTCACTGAAAAACAAAATCTATTCATTTATAAAAAATATTTTGAGCTGACAACCATGTAATTTTCTTGGAAAAAAAATTCATTTGTGGTGTGAAAATAATTTAATTAAAATTGGTGAATACAGGTTTAGGTGGCAGTTTAAAGACAATGGTTGTGAGACAATTGTACAATGAGAAAGAAAAGCTAGAATCTAATTTTGAAAAACAGGTTTTTTTCCCAAAGGTAATCTCATAGTGGGAGAAGTTTAGCCAGCTTGTTCACACTCTCCCTCTTTGCGGCCATATCTCTGCATTTCCCTAGCAAAGCATGGTGAAAGTTGTCGTCACCTGTTGGTCTGTGTTACCTGAATCTTCAGCATATCAAAAGTGCGTCACTAATGGGTGCATGGGGCTAGAGCTGCTCTGAAGTAAGACCTGAAATGCAGACAGTGAGTTGAGTCCTCAGCACCGTTTCATGCTACAAAGCACCTGTACAGCTGCTAATACAGATGTGGCCTGAAACGGCTGAGGAATGGATGTAGGGTCTGGCAGATCCCTTTGATCTAATATTCTTCCTTTTAGCCACCACAAAGGGACTCAGTGATATGCTCTAGTTTTTTTTTCTGAGGTGGAAATGTCTGTAAGAAAGTGACCTGGCGATTCAGCAGCTCCAACCTGCTGGTTAACAAGCCTGGGCCCAGCTGACCAGCCTGAATCCATGTGAATTTTCACCTAAACTATGGCAAGAAGCATTGGGTGGCTGGGGAGGTATGCAGTGATCTCTAAGACTTTTACAGCAGACATGATGATGGAAAAGATATGGGTGAGCAATCATTAGTGACTCCCTTTCCTATTAAGACCTCCTGGGTACGGACAGAAAGATGACTTACTCTGGTGGTCTTGATTTTATTGCCAGTCGCACACATCCATCCAGAATTATCAGGCAACGTCTTACATTCCTCTCCTTCTAGGCAGGGCTCCATCTCACACCACCATTTCCCAATCACTATTGAAGCTAAAAGAGAAAAGACAATGTTCACAATTATGTTATAAAGAAAAATCTAATTAAATAATATCTCAAGGGTCTAACACTGCATTTAAGAGGTACAGTGTCCCTTCTAAACCCTTCAATTGAAATTTAGTTGCAGGGATTTCACATTTAATTACTTGTTTTGCATCCTGTATTTTCTAAGACAGTGCACTGTTTATCATAGCTTCCTCATACACGAGATCTAGTCTACTATCATGCTGTGACTGTGGGGAATGCTGTGACGGCAGCAATACTGTTTCAGACCAAAAGACCATCCACCCTAACAGCCTGTCTTTCTTTGTGAGTGGCCAATCTGATCCTTATGGACATGTATAAGAACAAGGCGAGTCAAAAGAGATTTTCCTCAGAATATTCTCCAGGTCTTCAGGACCTATGGCTCAGGGTACTCCGGAATAAACAGTGTCTGCTTTGCTTTCAATACCTACAGCTGGCTTTTTTCTTCCACAAATCCGTGTGAAATTTTTTTAGCCCATGTAGACTTTCAGCTTTCACAGTATCCCATGGCAGGGAGTGTCACAACTAGAAATAGAAGGTAAGGTAATACCGAACAGCAGCAGAAGTTCAATTTGTTGAAACATGATTATGAATTTTATAGAAACTCTATTATCTCTAGCAGTAACTTTTAATTTCCAAATATTTAATGTTGTAAATAGTGACAGTGTCTGGATCTTGTTGTTTGAATTTGATTGGCACGTATGTTTACAACCTTGAGTGTACCTTAATGAAGTTTCTTGCCTGGGAATTGGTATCTGTCTATAACCTTACCTATATCTTAATGACATTTTTTTTATCTGGGGATTTTGATAAACTTTAGCTAACCTTGCAAACTGTGACTGGTTGGTGCACGAGTGTCTCTGTCTGCAGTTTGTTTTCCCTGGCAAGAATTAATTTCATGGTTGCACTCATGAAGCCTAGCTGTCAAAGCTTCTCGCACACTCACTCAAATAGAGATGCTTAACCCATTCATATCACCCCACATAGCTGCTTCAAGCCCATAAAACACCTTTGAAGCAGCAGACTACCTTGTATCACACCATCCAACTCTGGTCAATGCTCTGTTGTGCATGCATTGATTTAAGGACATTTCAGAGTTTATAATTAAAGTCTTGATTTATTTTTTATCTAGTAGTAATCTGTTTATGCTCACAAAATCCTCAGGAAACACCCAAAGATGTGTCTGCAGCTGCTACTAATGTCCATCCTCTTAATTCACAGCTACACAGATGAAGCTACAAGTCCCTTTTTCTCTAAGCTCTAATATATGACCAACCCACACTGAAAAATAAATGCACCAAACCCACAGATACTCATAGACTAAAAAGTGTGTATTAGCATTACATTTCATCATGCAAGAGGAAGCTCTGCATGGCACAGAGAGCAGGAGACTGTTGAAGAGAAAGACTCAGCAAGGGACAAAGGAGGCACTCTGGCATTTTCAATAACACTTGAACTGCATTCTTGTTTTTGGGTTAGGAGAGGTGGGCATTAGGTGACCATGGCTTCAAAATTATGTATCATCAACATTATCTACACAGAGTTATACCCATCACACTACCTTACTAGACCTGCAGGTGACAGAAATAATTTAGATTCGTTAAATGAACACAAAGGTATGTCATGTGCCCAGAAAGGAAGTTGTTTTTTATGTAAACCTGGTAGTAAAGTCTGGAAAATAAAAATGGTTAATATAGAGTTGGAAATCCTGTAAAGAAGGTGAAGTATACATTCATTAACTTTCACTTTTATTTCCTTCAAAGAGGAATTCAGACTTCCTTTGGAAAGGTGAGATCTTTGTTCCTCAGATAAGCTGGACAAACCGGCCCCTGCCACTTGTTGAGGTACGTTGGTGATCTGAGTAACATATGGTCAAGATATTTGGTGGGCCATGCTGGAGTGCATCCAAGTATAGCCCACTTCAGTGCAAAATAAACCAGAATGAGAAGCAATATTTCTGGGCCAGCTAATTAACTCTAACGGGAAGCTACTGCAATTCAGGGTTCCAAGTCAGTATCTCTAAAAAAGGCCTTCACTTGGTATGTGATTATACCAGCCGACTTGCTGAATAACTGTCCCAACAGGGATATGGTTTTCACCCACTGAGTTTACTTGAAACACAGGAAAAAACACCTTGGGCTTGAAAGCTCCTTTGGGCGGAAGAAGAGTTGAGTAAGTTGGAGCAAGTGAGCTATGCTTAGAATAGAGCAGAGTAGAATAAAATAGAACAGAATAGTTCAGCTGGAAGGGCCCTACAATGATCATCTAGCTCTCTGTGTTGTCTTTCCTATTTCTTCTCACAGCTTATACCTCATTTTTATCATGTAATGTATCATTTCTCCATATGTACAACACACACACACACAAACCCCTTTATACCTGCACTTGCAAGGTAGTTTAATGATGCTATTCACACATCATTTTCAGAAGGGTATCATTAATGCTGCTAACAGTGGAGAAAAGAGATATCTCTCTTTGCTATACATGAAAAGGCACGAGGGCTGAATCTGTGCTCTAAAAATAGATTGTGCAGTAGGCAAACTGAAAAACCATATCCTGCTAAATACTGGCCTTCACAGCAATCATCAGAGCAGAGCATCCTCAGAATACATGAGAAGAATCCTGTGATATGGAATCAAAAGCGATGATGGTAATTATTTACTAGTAGCAGTGTTGTAGCATTAAATAATCATGGAGAAGGATCCTATGGTGCTAGGTACTAAAAACCACAAAACTGAATGCCCTGGCCTAGGGAGTTTACAGTGTAAAACAGAGACATGAGATGAATATGGACTGAGAGGCAGCATGGAGAAACAATGCTGCTCACAGCAATTAAAATGATCTAACTACTTATTGATGCTGCTAAATGCAGCCCAAGTATTTGGATATTGACCTTGAAAAATAATCAAATGTAAAGTCAGTGCTGAACCTTAATGTCAACTGATTCATGTAATAGTGTGCAGGTTTTAGTGTGTGTGTGTGTATTAATTTGCGATCACAGTGCAGTTACAGTCACAAGGTAGCCCACCCAAGGGTCCACCATCGAGTGCCCTTACCTGTTCCTACCCAGTATGGGTGGGCTGGAGACAAGGCTGCTTTTATAAAGGGGGAAATTAAGGCTGTTTGCAGATGAAAAGCTCCTATTTGTCTCTAATATGTAAGTGGGCAAAAACCTTTGTAAGTCTGAAGCACTACAAAGCTCACTGTGGTCTATTCCTCAGCACTGTGCTGTGGCAGGGGCATCCAGAGCTCAATGAAAATTATTTCGAGTCTTGTGTTTATAGGTTTTTCTCTTCTATTAAGAGCTTTTTAATCTTTAGGACCAGTTGTCCTTCTTGGGCACCGCTGATCCTTTGAGGTCTACTTTAGTTCAAAGTTTTACACCTCCAGCTCTGTTCAAAGAGGCAGGAAAAAGCTTTAAAATGAATCACAGTTTGCTGTGTTTGAGATTAGGTACACCTGTATGGGGAGGAGGGAAAAAAGCTTCCCCAGGGAATACAATGCAGCTTCTCTATGTTTGGGATATGTTGCTCTGAGATGTGCTGAAGCGGTCGTGTGTGAGAGAGAATTGGTAAAGTTAAGATGCTTTTCCTCGGGGTGGTTTGCATTCAAGATCTCCCAGATTCTGAAGAACCTGAGCTTCTCGGTGACCCGAACTGCTAATTCTGGATGAGAATTACAGACTCCCATTGGTCACCAGGCACCACAGGCTGTGAGTGCTCACATCATGCTGAATTAGACGCCTGTAATGTTTTAGAGTGGTTTTCATTCTGTTCTTCTCACTGTCTTGGGAATATGTGAAGCATGGAGTTTTTTCATGCAAGGCTGATTTGACTGAGACAGATATCCTCAGTCATGGGGAAAGAAAAAGGATATGATATAAAAAAGCCTTGACTACTCCTGCTTTGTTTGTGTTTTGTTCTGGGTTTTTTTCTGTTCCCCAGCTCCTGCTAGTGTAAGTAAGGGATTGCTTGTATCTGAGTTCTTTTCAAGAAAATGCCTTTTCTATAGGAATATTAAACTCTAAGCATATAACTAATGGAGCTGGGGAGAAAAGCAACTTTATTCAGAAAATTCTTGAGATTTTTTTTCCAGTCCAATTCACACTTTTTTTTTTTTTTTAAATCTTTGTTTGCAAAGCTATAGAAAATTTTTGATCAAAATATTTAACTTTTGATGTATTTAGTCTGCATGGATTAACAGACAAAAAAAACATTTGGTTGAAACGGCATTTGCTCATCATGTGTACCAAACAGAGAAACAAACTACAGATAAGAGATCTGGGGACCAGACTGAATATAGGGAATGAGCAAGAGAGTAGCTTATATTTCATAGCACCATAGAATCATTTAGGTTGCAAAAGACCTTTAAGATCATTCACTCCAACCATTAACCTGACTTTACCAAGTCCACCACTAAACCAATCATTCTATCATGTCATCATTCTATTCATGTGGAATGCCATCCACAGCTATTTGATTCATTGCCAACTTGCATCAGAAAAAAATGCATCACCTAAAGGCAAAAAATCTTTTGTCCTTCTGTTGATCAGTAATATGAGGCAGCAAAGTGTTGAAACAGTGAACATTTGTCATATATCACAAAAATTCAAAGCCAAGTGTTGGAGAGAGGGCAAAAAGCTGGTTCCAGATTTTCTGAAGATTTTAGCCATATTTGTGCTGAATCCTTCAGAGTGCAAAGTTAAATTCTGGCAGCTATAGTGAAATTTGAAATAGTCAGCAAGGTCCTTAAGGTCACTATATGTTCAAGGTAGAAAGACAGATGCTCAGAATGAAACTCAGAACACTAAGGAAAAAAACATCTAAGCCAGCCAAAAAATTTAGTAGCCATAAGTCTAGCTGATATCTACCCTTTCTTTGATACTTGGTTGCCTGCCTGCACCCTTGAGTTGGGTGATTCCATGTGAATCTAGAGTTTTCAGCAAGATTTAGATTTTTAGGCTTTCTCTT